ACTGGGTAAATACCTATCTTACCTGTTTTTATTAGCCCTTCTTAAATGTATGTATAGCTCAAGTTCATTTAAATATTTACTATTAGAAGTGGTTTTCGTCTTTATTTAGAAGTTTGGTGAGGTTTTACATCCAGAAATATGCCATAAGAACTTAACTTTGACTGATCTCATTTAGCCAATGCTGAAATTGTTTGCCTGACATATTTTTCCTTAAAGTCGCAGCTTCCAAGAACCTGTAGATGTTAAGTGAGAACTTACTGTGTGGTTGTGGGAACTGTCATCTGGTGGCAATTTTAACTTGTTTATGAAGATTGTCAGCATGCCTGCAGCATGGTTGCCTTAGAAATGATGTCAAGAGAAGTAAAAGGAATGCCGCCTAACTTTCTTTCTTCTAGTGTACCTCATGTGAGGCTGGACACAGAATGACTGCAAAAATTTATTGTAAAGAGCCTGTAACATTTGGAATCACAGACCTATTGTAGCCATGTGGCTTTGGGCAAATTACCCAGTCTTATTAAATACTTCATTTAATAAATGGAAATAATACTAATTGCACCACTCTTCTTTTTAAAGTTAGTGCAAGAATACAATTACAAAAATCCATGCAGGTTGGGTGCAGTGGCTCATACCTGTAATCCTCGCACTTTGGGAGGCCAAGGCTGGTGGATTGCTTGAGACCAGGAGTTCAAGACCAGCCTGGCCAACATGGTGAAACCGTGTCTCTGGTAAAAATACTAAAATTAGCTGGGCATGATAGTGCATGCCTGTAATCCCAGCCACTTGGGAGGCTGAGACAGGAGGATCACTTGAGCCTGGGAGGTGGAGTTTGCAGTGAGCCAAGATAGTGCCACTGCACTCCAGCCTGGGTGACAGAGCAGGACTCAAAGAAAGAAAGAAAAAGAGAGAGAGAGAGAGAGAGAGAGAGAGGGAGGAAGGGAAGGAAGAAAGGGAAGAAGGAAAGGAAAGATAAAGAACAAAAGAAAATACATGAAACTAATATAATTGGCAAAGGCCTATATAGATACTGGTTAATTTCACCATTATCAGAATATTTCTGTTTAGTACATACATAGTTAAGATTAATAAATCTATAATGATTGATTGGAATTTATTCATGACAAGACCTACAATGATAGAATCCCCAAAATGACTTGATGAGACTTCCAGATAGAAAAGCAGATTATTCACATGACTAGAGACCACCTACAGAAAGCAGCCCAAGGAAATTATTCAAGGTACAAAAACAAAGCTGTTGATTACAAATGAACTCAGAATTTAACTCTGGTTTTAATAGTTGTTAAGGCAAAAGGGAGTGGCCATGTGTTCACTATTATTTGAGATTCAAAGAACAAAATATGTTGCTTTTTTAACTTGATTTTTTTAAATGAAGATGTCTTTCCCAGTCCCAAATCATCTGCATAAATGACATTTCTGCAAAGGCAGATGAGCAAAAGAGTGCTATTTATAGTAGAATCACATAGTAAGCAAAGGAGATATTGTATGATTAGCTTTTCAAATGGCTACAAAGACATGTAAATAAAATAGTAAAAACATATATTCAAAGGATTGTTAATTATTCTACTATAAAGACACATAGCCATGTATGTTTATTGCAGTACTATTCACAATAGCAAAGACTTGAAACCAGCCCAAATGCCCATCAATGACAGACAGGATAAAGAAAATGTGGCACATATATACCATGTAATACTATGTAGCCCATAAAAAAATAGGAGTTCATGTCCATAGCAGGGATGTGGATGAAGCTGGAAACCATCATTCTCAGCAAACCAACACAAGAACAGAAAACCAAACACTGCATGTTGTCACTCATAAGTAGGAGTTGAACAATGAGAACACATAGCCACAGGGAGGGGAACATCACACACTGGGGCCTGTTGGGGTGTGGGGGTCTAGGGGAGGAATAACATTAGGAGAAATACCTAACATAGATGACAGGTTGATGAATGCAGCAAACCACCATGGCACATGTATACCTGTGTAACAAACCTGCATGTTCTTTACAAGTATCCCAGAACTTAAAGTATAATAATAAACATTGCTTAAATTACCCCAAAACATGAAGGATCAGAAAAATATACATATTATATATATATATATATATACATATATTTGTATTTATCTTTAACTGAGCATGCCCAGAACAGCCAAAGGAAAGAAGTAAATGTCTAATGGTGTGTTGGTGGCTATGAGTGCCTTTAAAGCTTTGGAGTTTTGTTGCATTAATTTGCATAGCTCTTTCTTATTTAACACCTAATTATACTCCCCTGCAAGCTTGTAAATTTTCTCTCCACTCAATTATTAACCACCACTGAAGTGATATTTTTAAAGTCTAGAAACTGAATGAGAACAAGGTAAAGTCTTGTCATGAGATAGGCTTCACCAAGAAGTCAAGAATTTCATTTCTTGGTCATTAGAAACTAACCTGAGATCTTGATATAATTAACTTTCAGTATGGCCAAGAAAAACAAACAAGTATTTCCTGAATTAGTAAAATGAAACTCATTTTACAGAAGTGTTCCTTCCTTTCTTTCTTTCTTTCTTTCTTTCTTTCTTTCTTTCTTTCTTTCTTTTTGTATTAATCTTTCATGGTGGTAGTATAAATAGTGGTAGTTGTAACAGTAGTGCCAGACATGCTGGTAATTGCAGTAGCAGTTTCTTGTTCTTTGTAGTTGTGGCAACTTTAATATTCATAGTAATATAGTTTATTTTAATATTCTGGTAATAAAAGAATGAAGCTATATCTATGGCTTTTACATGTTAACAAATCATTCTATATTTCTACTGAGTTCTTTGGAAACAATTTGAAATTTCCATTCTGACAGTTGAAAAATTGTAGATTTGGGAAACATTTTCCCAGTCAAAAGAAATAACAGTTAATGGTTTCTGTGATCTGAAAACTGGGTTATTGAAAGTGGAGAGCAGTTTTCCTAACAAATCTATGTAGAAATATTGAGGAGAATACATATATATATATATATATATATATATATATATATAAAATTTATTTTAAAACTAACAGTATGAAGTGTCTGAAATAATCAATGCTCTTACATTCTGCAGCAGTATATTTTTAAGGATTGCTGCTGTTTTTCTTACAAAGTTGCCTTGGAGAATGGATTTTGTATTTATTTAAAATTATCTTCTGTCCTTGAATAACTACCCTTCATTCTCCAACTTAAGCAGTTTCTTCTATTTGTACACGGAGAATATAAAGAAGAGAAATAACCTACCTGGAGCTATTTTCTCTGAAATAACACTTTCAGAGTCTAATTCAGACATTTCCCTTAAAAGATTGTATCTATAGAATTTTTGAATTCGTTTTAACAATGCCATTATAAATGCATGCTGGTGACGATAGGAGAAAAAATAGAGACCCTGAAAAACAGTTACTCTTCATGTTTATAATGTTAAGGATGTGATATTGCACTTTGAATATTAGGAGTATGACTCTGAAAATCCAGAGAGAAATATAATAAAAGCAATGACCATATTACCTTAACATTTTTAATACACTTGAGCTATGTGAAATTACAAATGTACAAAATTCTGCTTAGGACATCAGTTATTTATTTTAAAAGAGGGCTTGGCAAATAAGAAGTCATGGTGATAAAAATACACATTGAAGGTTTTTCCAGTTAAAATATTTTTTAAGATGAATAGCTATAGTTCAATTATGCTTTTGATGAAAAGTTAAAAGCTAGTCAAAGGAAAGAAGATGTTGCCAAAAAGAAATTAATTTCTAAGTAAATAACTATAGGTGTAATTCGGCAATAACTTGCAGAATTTGGAACATCACATTCTGGAATTTGAAACAATGAAGAGTGCAATATGCCAATGAAATATTTATTCAGACCATAAAATGAGTTATCAAAGTAACATTTTTTGAGCTTCAAATATTGCATTGCTTCTATATTGATTCTTGTGAATGTAGAAAAATGATTTATATTAGTCTTGGGTATCTAATTAACTCATGACTGCTGATACATTACATCGCATTGTCACAAATAATTTGCTTTGCATTTATTTGTGTGTGTGCATTTGCATATGTATCTTAATTGTGTATTTCTTAGATTAATATTAAAATTATTTAGCATTCCCTGAGCTGACTCTCTTTTCAGGCAGCTAAAGACTTTGTAGGCATGAAGTCAGCACAGGATTAACAATTTGTCACGGATAATCCACAAAGTAAATAAACCTAGTGTGAAAAATTGAAAGTGGGTTAGACTTGTAACATAGGAGCTATTGAAAATTAATTCAAAGCTGAAGTCCTCCATAGTAAATTCCGTCTCATTATCCAATTGCTAGAATAGACTGGCATTGATTAAATCTCTAAATAGAGAGGCATTTGTGCATGGTCAATGTTTTACCATCTTATCTGCAAATATATAGACTTTATTTTCTTGACTGTGTGCTGATAATATAGAGACTTGAGCAATCCAAGAAATGTGAAATCTTCACTGTGGGTGTTTAGCACCCTTTCAACTTTCAAGGAAAAAAAAAAAGCATCAAAACATTTTCTGCATTTTAGCAGGTGTCATTTCTAAAATGTCCTATGCTGAGATGGTAGGTTAAATAAATATCATGAAGCTGAATTCACTCATTCAAAAGACTTGTGTGGTAACCTCGTGTTAAAATGACAAGGGCTTAATAATGGCAAATTGAATATTTTAATTACTTACGATACTGTATTAGCATTTTTTAGCCTAATAATCTCATCCAGATAATAGTCACTTTTCCCAAAATTAAAACTGTGCATGTTATAGATTTTGGATTTGCCAGTCTGCAAGATTCTACCAAATTGTATGAGAATTTATTACTTAATCCAGACCAAGTATTATTAATTAGACACTAAGATATTAAATATGTTCCTTTTTTCCAGTTACCATGACATTTTATTTAAAAAATATGACTGTAATGGAATTGGAAGTATTTTAATTATAATTTTATATGGGCTTTTCCTATTTTTCTGTTTCTAGGTTTCATATACACTGGAGAAGTTGTACATCGAATGCTAACAGCCACACAGTACATAGCACCTTTAATGGCAAATTTCGATCCCAGTGTATCCAGAAATTCAACTGTCAGATATTTTGATAATGGTATGTATTGATTAGCATATATTGTGCTGCATATTTATTTTTAACCTCAAGCATCAGATTCATGTTAATGTTTTTGTGGACTCTATATTTTTTGGTGTGTAAACTGCTTGATGCAAATGGTCTGAGATGACAAATGTTATACTGTTAACTGTTGAGATTTATAAACTACACAAATGACATTTATCCAACATGTTTATTAACATCTACTATACACGATAGAAATGAGTTGCTGTAGACAAGACCTCAAAGCAAATGTATTTTTGATGCATTTCTATAATGCTATTTTGATGCTATTTCAGTTAAATCAGTTTTCCAATTTTTCCATCAGAAAAAAAAAATGGAAATCAGAATAATTTTCTTAGTTCTGATCTTCCAGTAGAGGCAAGTGGCATAATATAGTGATATAAAATTTCTAGAACTTATGACTTGTATGTATCCATAAGATTAACACATATTTTTAAAAGTATAAAGTAGTTAGCGTGGGTAGTTCAACTTAAGAAAATAAAGTTTTCTTGACTTTAAAAAATGAGTGAGAGCCTGTTAAGATTTATCAAATATACCAAGAGCAATATATCCCTGCTATTACTTTTTGTGACATATAAAGTAGAGAAAAAACTAGAATATATCATTAAGTGCTGCCAAAATCCAAGTGAGATATTCAAGGTCTTAGAGACACAAACGAATTTTCATCTCAACACCTTATCGAAAGCTGTATCTTTGGTAGAGAAAATAAATTATAGGAAACAAAGTGTTTATATTGGAAAGATTAATTAAATATAAAAATTCGGTGTAGTTATCATTCATAAATGGTATTTATTTGTTCAAATGACAATTTTATATCTGCAAATAGTACAAGCATTTGGTGTGAACAGAGTTATTACTGCTCTTATTTCTGATGATCAAGGAAGAAATTTACTGGTGGTTGAAATAGACTTGATGGTAGCAGTAGCCTTGGAAAAATATGATCATTTTGCTAAAAGCGATCTCCTGACCAGTGTGATGAAGCCATTTTACAGGTCAAAATTGCGTAGTGGGATACTAAACATAGTTAGATATTCGCCTTAGTAATACACTTTGAACATTTGAATAACACCAAGGTATGATCCAATATTAAGTAATTCTAAATGTTAACTATAATGATTTCTCTCTATTTTTAAGAACTGTTACATTCTCTTCCATTTTTTAAAACCTCACAAGGTGCTAACACCCACGGATGTGCAAGTAGAGTGTAAATACAGCATGCTTGAGGCAAAACTGCAGCCAGAAACTTATCTGAAGCTTATTCTATGATTCCCATACAAAATTGCCTTGGGAATCTATCCTGAGGAAATAATGATTTAACGAAAATTGACTATTTTCCAAGCTCCGACACTCACTAGATGGTATTAGGGTCATTTACTTATGGGAACATGATTCTATTGACCATGTTTTTATATTGTTGGTATCAAAATCATAAAGCATATTAAATAAGTCTCTCTTCATATATTCTCACATACCTTGTTTCTAGGTAGCTCTTAATATTTGAATTTTACTTCTATTTGAATGATTTTTTAAAAATTGATGTATACTACTACAACCAAACTTTAAGTTGTTTAAAACCAAGGGCTGTGGCTATTTATAAGAAATCATTTTATCTCCGGTACCCTGCATAGATGTTTAATAGGCATAGACCCTAAATAATAATGAATGAATGAAAATAATTAAATGTGTAAAGTTAGTATTTATTTCTGGGAATTATAAAAGCATTATTATTCAAGAATGCATGTATTTTTTACCCACTGAAATATCTTCTATGTAATATCTTATTCCATAGGAATCTAATATTGAGAAATATTGAGTTCAAACAATACGACAACGAAAGCTTGTGTTTTATTAAATGAGTGAAACACTTTTAAATACTGTAAGGCTCTTCACAAAGTCCTTTTTATACTACAGCTGAAATATAGTTGAGAAAATATTTCAACTTGCTGAAATATTTTCAAGTTTGGTTAGAATCATTGGCAGCATACTTAAAGATTGGAAACTCAACAATCTAGGGAAGTAATCTTCTCTGGACAAGATAGCAGCAGGTCAGAAAATTTAAATCAGTAAATGTTGAGAGAGCTATGCTATTACATAATATAAAAGTTAGCATGTACAAACATTGTGATTTTTAACAACCTGCTACTAACAAAATATTAGGAATCTTTTCCTCAGAATTTATATCATAAACTTTTAATTTATATAGCCCTCTCTTTTTCATAAATAATCAAGGATAACTATATTTTCTTGTATTTAATGCAGAAATCGCTTGAAGGCAGAAATGATACTTTCTGTGTTATAGGAAAGGAAATGGGTTCATGCAGATTAATTGTGTCCAAGTTCACATGGAAAGTTTTATAGAGACAAGGTGCAAGTCTAAGTCTTCTGCCCTCTGGCTCATTGTTTTCAGTGCATCACCAGAGTGTGATAGAAACTAGATAATACAGACTAGTATCTACATATTTTTATACATTCATGACAACTGTTTCTTCTTTTGTCAATATTTCTAGGTGACATTGTTGTCTGTGAGTGTTTTCAACTGTGGTGTGTTCAAAGAACAACTGTAGTTGGTCAGTGCCGGTTCTAGACTGGCCTTTTCATTTATTTATGTATGAGATCTGTCTGGTTCGTTACTGAATCCCTAATGTCCGGCTCTCATTAGGCCCTCAATACATGATTCAGTTAATGAATCAATGAATGTTCATAATGACATAGTGGAAAAAATGCACTTGAAGATGAAGGTTAAAAAATAAATGTGTCTTTCAAGGAAAAAAAGTAATTAGAGAATAGGGAAGAGACTAGAGCTTGGGGGTTGTAGACATGTGTGAAGGGAGAAGAAGTTAGGAGGCATTTCACGATTAGAAAATTCCTATACTTATAAAATCATGGGAAGTTTCCGGGCTATTGTCTTAGGAGAACTAGAAAAGACCAGCAAAGAAAAGAGAAGGAAAAGAAAAGAAAGAACAAAAGGAGAAGGAAAGAAAAGATGAAAGGGAATGGAAAGAAAAGGAAGAAAAGAAAAGAAGTAGGGAGAAGAGGGCTGAAACAAGAGGAGAAGGGAAAAGGGACAATAAAAGAAAAAAAAGATTAGAGAAAGAAAAATGGAAAGGGAAGATATAACAGATAAAAATAAGGAGACAGAAAAGAAAGAGGGAGAAAGAGGGGGACAGAAAAGGGAGAAAGTGGATAAAAAGGGAACGAAACCAATGAATACGAAAGAAGAAGGGAAAGAAAAGGGAACGGAAGAAAAGAAAGTAGAAAAGAAAGAAAGGAGGGAGAAAAAGGGAGAAAGGGAAAAAGCGGAAAAAGGGAAAGCCAAAGAAAAGAAAAGAGAATGAAAAAAAAGGCAAAGTAAGAAAAGCAAGAAAGAAAAAGCAACGAAGTGAGAGCGCTAAAGAGGAGAAAAATGTTAAACAAAGGTATACAAGGGAAAGAAAAGAAAAGAACAGAGAAACTAGAAAGAAAGGAAAGGAAGAAAAGAGGAGAACCGAAAATATGGATGGAGCAAAAATGGGAGGACTAAAAGGGGAAAGGTCCCCATGCGAAGAACCGAAAACGACAAGAGTAAGGAACAAGAAAAGGAAAGGCAGAAAAGAAAAGATCAAGAAAGAATACTCATAGGTAGTAGAAAAAATTTCGAAAAATGGAAAAAAGGGTAAAAAGGGCAAATAACATATGCACACGAACAATAGAAGGAGACGATACCGGGCCACGTTATGAAAGCTAAAAGCGAAAATGCCACACGGATCGGTGTACTCAGAAAGTGCTTCCCCTGTACCAACTGTTCACACTGGACCTCCCCGCCCCATCACCTAATCACTGCCCTCCCCTTTACCTTCCTAACTACCATCTCCCATCCACAGAAGAAGGTGAGAAAGAACGGGAGCAAAAGTTTGAGCAAGAGTACCCCCTTTCCCTCCCCTCCCCTCCCCTCTCCTGCCCTCCCCTTTCCCTTCCTCCCCTCCCCTCTCCCCTCCCCTCCTTCTTTCTCCCTCTTTCTCCCCCTTTCTCCCTTTCCCCCTTTCTCTCCCCTCCCCTCCCCTCTCCTGCCCTCCCCTTTCCCTTCCTCCCCTCCCCTCTCCCCTCCCCTCCTTCTTTCTCCCCCTTTCTCCCCCTTTCCCCCTTTCCCCCTTTCCCTCCCCTCCCCTCCCCTCTCCTGCCCTCCCCTTTCCCTTCCTCCCCTCCCCTCTCCCCTCCCCTCCTTCTTTCTCCCTCTTTCTCCCCCTTTCCCCCTTTCCCCCTTTCCCTCCCCTCCCCTCCCCTCTCCTGCCCTCCCCTTTCCCTTCCTCCCCTCCCCTCTCCCCTCCCCTCCTTCTTTCTCCCTCTTTCTCCCCCTTTCTCCCTTTCCCCCTTTCCCTCCCCTCCCCTCCCCTCTCCTGCCCTCCCCTTTCCCTTCCTCCCCTCCCCTCTCCCCTCCCCTCCTTCTTTCTCCCCCTTTCTCCCCCTTTCCCCCTTTCCCCCTTTCCCTCCCCTCCCCTCCCCTCTCCTGCCCTCCCCTTTCCCTTCCTCCCCTCCCCTCTCCCCTCCCCTCCTTCTTTCTCCCCCTTTCTCCCTTTCCCCCTTTCCCTCCCCTCCACTACCCTCCCCTCTCCCCTCCCCTCCCTCTTTCTCCCCCTTTCCCCCTTTCCCCCTTTCCCCCTTTCCCTCCCCTCCACTACCCTCCCCTTACCGTTTTTGTTTCCAAAAGGACAATATAGACAGAGAGATGCCCATGGAAGGAAACCTGGGTGGTCTTCACTCAAAGCAGTAATAATGACTGAAAGCACCAAGGTCAAGTTCAGGTTTTTCTTTAAAAAACATTTAAAGTTTTGCCTCAGAAGAAGTCCATTTCTATACTCCAACATTCTTTAAAGACTTACAATAGGGCTTTCAAAATATTTGAAAGAACGTGTCTATTTAAAGTTGTCAGCTAGCTCAAGAGGTATTACTAATAGCACCAAACAGTTACTGGAAATCAATTCTTCCATGCAATTGTAATTTTTAAATATATCAGATATTTATTGCTGAGAGATAAAATTTGCTCTTTTAGTTCTATGATTTTCATTTTCAACACAACTTTTTTGGGCAACAATATTTTTTTAAGCCGAACAGAAATATCTAATATTTAGAGTGAAGAAGTCTTAGCAGCTCATTTCTTTTCTTTTCTTTTCTTTTTTTTTTTTTTTTAAAAAAAGAGACTATACAATGTCAGTTAAAACAAAAATATGACTTCTCACTGGGGACTATTAAACTATGTTTCAGTTTTTATTTCATGTTACTTGTTCATAGTAAGCACTGACTGAGTGAGTCAGAATATAATGTACAGCACTGGAGTTTCATCCTAGTGTGCTTCAAGGGGACTTCAAAAATCTTAGCCCAAGGTCCTTTGAGCTGCTTGCAGCCTCATGGAAGAAACTCAACAAAGAGAAATACAACCCTTGTGAACCCAAGGAGAAAATTCCCATTAGTGTTTAAGTAACTTCAGTGTGGAAAAGTATATTTCTAGGTATGGAGAAGACATTTACATGTCTTTTGTATGTGGTCCTAACTTTTTAAATGTGTTTCTTTCTCTCTCAGCGTTTGTCAAATGTGTTCGAAGTTCATTCAATCCACTTAGGCTGCATTTTGAAACTGGCTTATAGAAATTTAAGCCGACAGTACCCATTAACATTAATAAAATTCCTAAGGCAAAATTCCCCTGCACTGCGATAGCTCAGTATTAACCTAAGTATGAGGTTATATTTTACTAAATATTTAGAGAATAGTCAGTCATTTTAAAAAAATCCCAAACGCTATTTCAGTAACAGAATTTGATTAACCACATAAAATGGAAATCGTACAACTACCAGATTTGAAGGCCAGATGCAAAAACTTTTTTGTGAAATCTCCCATCGGAATTGATTGGTATGTTTTTCTCATCGCATGTCTTCCTTTTTTAAATGGGTTTATAGGCACAGCACTTGTGGTCCAGTGGGACCATGTACATCTCCAGGATAATTATAACCTGGGAAGCTTCACCTTCCAGGCAACTCTGCTCATGGATGGACGCATCATCTTCGGATACAAAGAAGTAAGAGATATATTGATAAATTCTTTCCCTTCCCTTTGTTCTTGACTGCTTTCTTTCCTCCAAGTGTCAAGAAAGAGACATTTTACAGTCATGAACCTCAAATCATTTTCTTGCCTCTTGGTTTCTTTTGCTTCATAAAAAATATTTGAGTTAGTTTTAATTTTCTGGGTTCATTGATTGTTAGCTCATTGTTTTGTATTCTGATATTGTTGGTATAAGGACCCATCAATTTCTTAAAATTATTCAGTAATTATATTCTTGTCGTACTAGAGTGAAATATCTCTAAGAAAAATAAAATCCAATTTGGAGGGATTTCTCATCTAAATCTAAATGTTTATATTTAAATATTTTGTTAGTTTTTTTTTCCACCTTGTTAATTTCTGTGATACATTTTGGTTCTAATTTCAAAAGCATTTATAGGCATGAAAACTTATGTGGCTCAATGACCCAGTACTGAGAGAGTTCAAGGACAGCTGAGCTTACAATCCCTTTGGCTAATGTTTATTGAAACAGGATAAGAAAGATTGATCAGAGACCTAAGTGATAGAAAGAACAAGAGAGTTTAAACTTATGGTTTCTTTTGAACAAATTGACAAAGTAAAGAGCACATGTTTACTGAATTGTAGCCTTAAATTTACAGAATATTTAGACTAGAATAATTGTGTGTGTGATTTCCAACTCTTTTGACAAAGCGATTAAGGTCTGTTAGACAAAGAATGTAGGAATAAAGTTCCAAGAACTGCAGATGTAATGTTTTAGATGGTGTCTAATTATGAGAGAAACCTGGACCATGAGAAATAATAATGAGCATTATTAAACTATAGGTTAAGGGGTATTTATAGTAATACAGACTCAATACCTTGTTTTCAACTGAGGGATTACTTTTTCCTTGAGAAATAAATCCCAGATTATAAAAGGGATGTTGAGGATAAAGAAAGAATTCACTTTGGTCAAATCTTCTGAAATCCATCTATTCCAAAAAAGTGAAACATAATTTAATTACAATTAAGTAGGCCAACTTTTAAAACATTCTATGACCATGTCAACTATTTCTATTCCTTTAAAACATTTTTATGGAATTTTTCATTTACTTGAGAGCCATTGTGTAAATAGGATATAATTATAGGATATGTCCTTTTCTGTGTTTCTTTATCCAAGCTTACGGTTTAAAAAAAAAAAAAAAAAAACTTTTTTTTGAGATTCAGAAGTACATGTGAAGATTTGTTATATAGGGAAACTCATGTCACAGGGGTTGTGTTGTACAGATAATTTTCTCACCCAGATACGAAGACCAGAACCCAACAGTTACTTGCTCTTATCCCCTCCCTCCCCCTGCCCTCCACCCTCAAGTAGACCTCAGTGTGTGTTGTTCCCTTCTTTGTCCCATGTATTTTCATCATTTAGCTCCCACTTACAAGTGATAACACGTGGTATTGGGTTTTCCATTCCTTAGTTTTCTAAGGATGATGACCTCCAGCTCCATCCATGTCCCTGCAGAGTACATGATCTCATTTGGTGTATGACTCCATGGTATTCCATGGGGTATGTGTACCTGATTTTCTTTATCCAGTCTATCATTGGTGGGCATTTTGGGTGATTCTATGTCCTTGCCATTATAAATAGTGCTACAGTTAACATATACATGCATGTGTCTTTGTGGCAGAATGATTTATTTATTTATTTTTTAATTAACAGACTAATTTAGAGTAGTTTTAGATTCACAGCCAAATGATGCAGAAAATACACAGAGGTTGAACATATTCTTCTTTCCCTGCTGAACATCCTCCCCCATCATCAACATGCCCCTCCAGAGTGGTACATTTGTTGCAACAGATAAACCTACATTGACACATCAATATCACTTAATGTTCTTAGATGACATGAGCGTTCCCTCTTGATGCTGTATTTTCTAAGGGTTTTAAGGATGTGTAATGTCATGCATCCATCATTATAGTGTCATACAGAATCTTCCCTGCCCTAAAAATTCTCTTTGCTCTACTCATTTTTTTAGTTCAGTAGGTTTTGGGGAAACAGGTGGCATTTGGTTACATGAATTTATATTATTTTGGCTCTATGCCCAGTAATGGGATTTCTGGGCTGAATGTAGTTTTACTGGTGAGGTTGTAAACAAAGGGAATGCTTATACACTGCCCATGGGAGTGTCAATTAGTTCAGCCATTGTGGGAAGCAGTGTGGTGATTCCCCAAGGAGCTAAAAACAGGGCTATGTTTTTCTGTCAGATCCCACCATATATTTATGTCACACTCCCTGGAAGCTGAGGGAATACTTCTCAATAGGGTTCATTCATTTGTAGTTTTCATTGCAATCTGGTATATTGCTGGAACTGCACAGTGACGTTTTACAATGTTAGTTTTCAATGGTTTCAACCAGCAGTGGTGAAGTTTCTGGAAAGACACAAAATCAGTAAGTTTGGAGTCTTAGGTCTCACCAACTGGAGGCTTTGTCAACACAGAGGTTTGTGTTCTTATTGTGGTTTCTCTTACCAGTCATTATTATCAAAATTGTCATCTTTTTAAACTGTTCTCAAAGGATAACTCACATTGCAGAGTGTGACAGTTGATTCTTCCTGTTTTTTCTTCTAGGTTGGTATTTTTAAAGGCCTTCTCTTTTCTTCATTTTTATCAAAGAAAAATGTTCCATTACGGTTTTCCTGCTTTGTCATGTCAAGATGACAGGCAAATTTAACACTTTCTTGATATTCCCAGGCACTTATCCTGAAGAATGTCTCCCTTCTCCACTTGGAGTTCATTTAAGTCATTTTTAATTTATTATTTGCCTTTCTGTTCTTTTTATGTCCTAGATAGAAAGCAGTTTCTACTTTTCTAGCCTACCTCTTTTTTCTTCTCAGTAATTGTTGTATATTTTATTTTGCTAAGGCAAATTGTTATTTGTACAATTTGTCAAGATAGAATCCCCTTGCATTTGGGTGAGAGCTAGAAGCTCCTCACACTGCTAGAAAAAATGTTCCTAAACATGATAGCATAAAATAGTAACTTACATCATATGTTATCATTTACAAAGTACATTCACATGCATTATAGTGTTCAATTCTTCAGCAATTTCCTATAGCCTTAATATCCTAAGCATTTTACAATAGAGGTGGTACATAGAAGCTGTTCAATAAATGTTTATAACTTAATTATGGAAATAGATCATACATGATTATCTTCATTTTATAGCTGAGCAAGCTGAGTCAGAGAGATTAAATGACATACTTGAGGTCACAGAGCTAGTTAAGGACAAATCTAGAGTCAAAAACTTTAATTTGATGATCCTAAGACAGCTCAACCACTTTTCCTGCCTAAAGAGATTATGTATAACAATTCACAAATCTATGTCTCATTTGTTTTTCTAATAAGTATTTCTTAATATTTGCTCTTTAAGACTCTTTATTGTTAGATTTTTTTCATATCACACAATTACAAGTATAGTCAGAAGAGGGATTCCTACTTCATTTGTAGAGCTAACCAAATTCTAAGAACATATGATTACAAAGAGTATAATTTTCTGTTCCTGTCCAAGCTAACTTACTGAATTATAGACAGGGAAGTAAGTGTAATTCTTTCTGCAATAAGTTTCTTCTAATAAGCTAACACCAGCTTTGTTTTGTTTCATTGTATTTTATGTGAATAAGAAGAAAAATTCTGATTTATCCGAAACCCACCATCATTTTGGGACTTGTTTTAAAATTGTAAATTACAATTATAATTAAATTTCACATTAAAATTAGTAATGGATTGAATAAATTTAGTAAAATAAATTTCATATTCAATGCCTTCATGCAATCTATCTCAGTATTTCAATGTGCTAATCATGCTAAGTACATACATGACCTCCAATCCTTTCATTCTGCAAATATTGTCATTTCTTCAGTAGCATAATTTTTTGCAGTGCAAACTAAATGATGAATGATTAATAAATTAAAAATTACATTTACACTTATAACAATCTTACTTATAATGGGATTGAAATAGGGAAATAGGACTGCTGCTTAAAATAAGAGTGAATACAGATCTGCTTATAATATTCAATGTTTCTTCACCAATATCCTGTTGTTTTCTATAATCATATTGTAGAGAGGAATTGTGAAGTCACAGATTCCTTTAAATAATTAAGTTATTTTTCCTGAGGTTAGAGCTCTGTATTGTGCAACCCAAGATTTGAAATTCTGTTTCAAGCTGTGGGCCCTTATTGTTACACAGCTCCATATTTTAATTAACTTCAAAGATAGAGTTTGCTTAGAATTCAGCCAAAGTACAAAAAGAATAATATTTTTTAAAGCTCTTCTCAAATTCCCAGCTGTTCATTATAATGCATTTTTCAATTTTAGAATATCCAGTTGTTTTTTAGATAGATTGAATTACCTAATGAAATTAACTATATCATCTATTTTCTTGACTATACTAATAATGATGATTTTAAAGTTTGTGATTAGTAGCCCTAATATCTAAATGAACTGTGAGTCTGTCTCCGTCATCTGTTTTCTTCCTATTTCCTCTAGATTTTCATTCATTGGCATGTTTGAATGCCAGGTGATTTTTTAAAAATAAAATATTGGAGATTGTTTACAAAGTACCAAAGTACTTTTAGGATTGATAATGTTTCCTTCCTACAAAACAGTTTATTTTTTTGGCTGTTAGTATAGGACAGATCACTTTAATACTATACAGCTAGGCCCATTCAAAATTGAGCATTAGTCCTTATGAAGGCCAGAATTTTCTGGTAAGACCTTATTCTTCTAGTCCTTCAGGGAGCTCCACTAAAGATTTGGATATTTACTATGGACCTTTTCCTTAGTGGTCCTGAATGCATATATTTTTCTTCAGCTCCATGAGACAACCCAAAGGCTGTGTGGAAAGGCAAATCATTCTTTTTTTTTTTTTTTTTTTTTTTTTTGAGACGGAGTTTCGCTCTTGTTACCCAGGCTGGAGTGCAATGGCGCGATCTTGGCTCACCGCAACCTCCGCCTCCTGGGTTCA